AGAGCGTCTGCTCATGTCAATATACTCCTTCGATACAGCATTCCATACTGTTCTTGTTTCAGATGTACATGATAGTTGGAGTTTCTGTATTTGCTGTTTACCCTCATTAATCCTCACGAGTCGAAAATGCTGTGTTTCCATGCCTTTGTACATGTAAAACAGAAACCTCGAGAGCGTTCTCCCCTTCATATTTTTGCAGGTTATATTCTACCATTCATATGCAAGAAATACACTTTTATCAATAAAGAGGGGAGATCATTCCATTCTCCAGGTATACGAAGTTTATATGTTCTGTACATATGCATGTATTCTCTTCTCAACATTTTATTATTCTAGAGGCCGCAATAAAAATTTGAATGGACAACAATGTTCATAAAAAAAAGGTTCACAAGAATGTTTCTTCTACCTTGCATGATCATCTGAGCCTTCTTAGTATGGCCATGAGAAGATCATTCCACGCATCAATCGGCCCGGGTAAGCACCAGTGAACGCAGTCGTTATAACCCTTCATCCACTTATTTCCCCAGTACGCATTCGGATGCCCGTCTGGTCTCATGAGCATCGCCCTTGTCACATCCAAGACCGCAAACTTCTTTGATGTTTTGTGATGTTTTATCGGTTCGATCTGAGCTGTTCGGATTTCCATCTCGTTGCTTTTCAGGTCGATTTGATTCTCGCTAAAAGGGCTCGTTCGTCTACACGCTCCACCTGTATTCCAGGTTCCATTCTCGAAGTGGGCAGGTGAGAATGTCCTGAAAACCGTCACTAAACCACCTTTGCAGTTGTCACATTCGTCGATATGCTTGAATACAGCCGAGTAAACTAGCTCGAGCGCTTCCTTAGGGCTTATCTGAGTCATGTTTGGTAAATCGCAGTAGATGCAGCCTAGGGTTTGGTCTCCTCTGTGTATGACTATTGGTCTGAAGAACCAGTGAGCAGTGGAGACAATGGCAATGTCCGTGTTCGAAAGGTCCCTTGCCCACCCGTCATCGATCTTGCCAATGTCGAGATCATACGTTCCGGTTCCTGTCTGGTTGACATCTTTCCTCTCGTGTCCCGTCACTAGAAATTTCGTCCATGAGGTCGAGAGTGTGAAATCGTGATTTGGAAAGTACCATATCCAGTTTCTGTCTTCAGCGTCCTTGTAGACATCTCTCGGAGTTTCTTCCTGCGCAAGTAAGGAAAAAAGAGTATGAAGCCATTGTTAGTGATCATCTTTCTTGCAACCTAAGCAATAAAGGTAAAATCCAAATCAATACATGAAAACAAAGTTACTTATTTAAGAAACAAGAACATTAAAACACATGTGATGCTTTTGGTCAAACGTATCATCGGATTTAACAAAAATCAGAACGCACTAAAATGTGTACCATTGACAGAAGGCAGAGAAGAGATTCCATGTGATTCCTGGCAACAGAATCACCAACAAAGGTCATCTTCTTCCCTCGGAACATCGAGAGGAACAACTTAGGATTGAACCTCGGAAGCTTACAGCCGTCGGGTTTCCATCTCCAGAACAAGAAATCTCTGTCTGGTCTCCCCTGTTTCAGGCAGTTCTTCGAGTCAGGGATCGTCAAACAGCTCGAGTTCGTGTACAAAGAGCCTCTCTTGTCTGGAATCCAATGTCCCTTGAACAAGTCACAGTCCCCATCATCTAAAACAAACCCAAAACTATAAACTAATCAATAGAGTTTAAAGCAACCTTTTTTCAAAGAGTACACAAATACACAGTGTGCGTTGTACGTATATGCATCAATGTAAAACATGTATACACACAAATACAGCACGCGACAATGGTAAAGTGCAACATAAATCTAATTTCTTTACAAGATTTTGATAGCTGATCATCTTCTCTAATGGCATTCTATGTTATATAATGCACGTACATTTACACCAAACAAGAATTTCGTACGCAACTTTACGAAATCTTCTTGTTTCTGACATTATATTTGATCAGATTCTTGGCTTGTGTCAGAAACCCATTAAAGAACAAATGAATTTCTGAAAAGAAAACAATGATTGGAAGGAGAACAAAAATTCAAATATTTTCCTTCGAATCAGGGCAAACACAAGATCGTGATTTTCTATTTTTACGACATTGATTCACTGATACACGATCACAAATTTGCATCAAATCTGTAACACAAACGAATAATCATCTGAAGTTGCAAACCCATAAGATCAAACCTGCATAAGATTATAAAGATCGTAACTTTTTTTTTAAAAAAATTCTTCTGGGTTTTTTTTTACCTTACCGTGTTGAGATTCGGCGGGGAAAATATTCTGATCGGTGATGTTCTTGAAAGGATTCTGAGGGTACATGAAGAAACTGGAGAAAACAAGACTAATACACAACGACGACAACAGAAATGGCGCCAATCTCCCCATGCTCGTCACCACCCATCTCTCTGTTTTCTCTGAATTTTCCCGGAAAATCGATGAACTCATCGTTTGCATGTCGATCGTTCCAAGAAAATTTCACACACACGTATACATACACCCACACATTGGCATGTCTGTATATACATACATACAAAACAGAGGCTTCTTCTGAATTCTTTATTTATGGTCAAATTAAAATTGTGATTTGATTTTATGTTTATTCTTATGTACGACTCGTTGTGCCAATTTGCCATAGGTGGAACAAAATATTGTTTTATTTACCTTTTTTTTCAATAGTTTGTTGTTCGGCTTTTGTGATGATGTAACGGTGGCCGTCAGATTAGAACACGTGGCAATCAGTGATGAGGTGTAGATTGCATGTGAAATGAAATGAGTAATTTTTTTTTAATCTTTTTTCTCTCTACCATTAAACCATATTTCACGGCGTAATCTCCTTTCCTCTTTGTAGAAATTTCTTTCCCCTTTTGCGTAATTCAATGCCCCTTTTCATATCTCTCCTCACATTCTCCATCTTTTACCCCAATATATGTATACATCCATATATATATATATGTATTTATATATATATATATATATATATACACTAAGCATGATTAATTGGTTAACTTAATTGACATCGATTCATAAATATTTTCTATTAGATTTTCATTTATAGCATTACACTTTTGAGGATATAATACGTGAGAATAAGTGAGTCGCAACATCAATGGTTGCTATAGGTTGCAATAATTTATAACGTGCTAATTAAGTATATGATTAATTAGCTAGCTTATTTAACTTAAAGGGAGTTATAAAAAAATCATGTGATCTTCATTTAGATTATACCGAAAGCTGTAACACCAAAGATTTTTATAGGTTGCAAAAAAAAATTTATGTATTTTTTTTTTTTGCATAGTATTTTATTTTATGTAATGTGAAATTCGTTGGGTACGTCACCAATGATCATTGATGACTAATTAATGATAAATGGCAAATTCGATGCAAACAAAAATTACGTCTATGATCTATGTATGGATGTATTGACTCTTTTAATCTATATTAATTTTGAACAATAAAAGATATGTTGTTTAATGGATACCCATAGAAAACGAAGAGTCACGATTTTTTTCTCCAAATGAAAGTATCTTCTTTTCTTAATGTGCATTGAAGTATGAAATCTCTAAAGCCATATTTAATTTTTTAAATCTGAAAAATAATTACAAAATCAGATCTCAAAAAAGGAAAACGAAAACATAATTGCCCCATTTGAAATACAGTCAAATCATATTAATTCCTAATTAATTGGTTTTTGGGAGGATTCCCGATAAATAATACGAGGCTCCATGAAATTCAACTAGATGTAATGTAGAAGGTTATGACCATAATTTAGCAGGAATTTAAGGTCTTATACTACAATGTTTTCAATATGCCGTATATATATATATATATATATATATATATATATATTGAATTATAGTGTCAACGGTGGTCATCGAATGGATATCATAACCTAATCATAGAATAATCAAAATATTCACTAGAAAACAAAAGACTACTAAGAAATGACACGATAAATTTTGATTGAATAAAAGCAAACACGTGTATTATATTATATAGCTAACAAAAAAATAATCACACGTAACAAGAATCACAAGATTTTTATAATTTTCATATATGCGTTATGCTTTGGGTAAATTTTGATAGGAGAAAAAAAATACAACAAAAAGGCCAAAAATGTAATTTAGTTCGAGCTCCATCGCATTGTAAATGATTCTATATTGGGCCATAACCCATCAGTGTTGGGCTTAAATGGGCCTAAGTGGTCTTGCAACGGTCCAGTATGGTTTTAGACGCATGTTCAGCTGACAAGCTCCGACGAGTCCAATTTCAATTTTCAACCACGATAACGTTCAAATTTTTATTATTAAAAATTGTATTTAAAAAAACTAAAATTTTCTAATTAAATTTTAAATGAATAAAACAATAACAATCATTATCTTATAATTCAAGCATTGATCCAAAAAAAAAATTACTAAAACATAATTTGCAACGGATGAATAATATTTTGCTGCTCCATTACAGAAACCCTAATCTTTATGGTATACTTCTGACAAAACACAAAGACATGTTTTCCTATTTCCCTTTTTTACTAACAATAGAAGACAAGAAAGCATCTCATCAAATTCCAAACGTTGTCATTTCACATTCTTTTTTCCTTTAATCTATTATCTTCAGGTTTTGATTCGAGAGTTTTTTGTGCTTTTGCCTGCTTTTCTGACATTTTAATTTCAGGATTTCATTTTTATTTATACATACTGATACAAGTTTACATATCCAAGGTTTTGCATTTAGGATATACTATGTTTTTAGATTAATTTACATATAATAAACACTATAGATTTTTAAAATATAGGATTGGTTAGTAATTATAATTCCATTAGATCATATATATATATATATAGTGCAATTATGTTATTGAGGGACAAACACATGCAATGCATTTAGAAATAACATGAGCGATTTCCTCTGGGTCTATCTCTATACCAAATCAAAAGATTAAAGCCAAATCTAATCAGTGAATTAAATGCAGATCCAATTTGATGTAGGAAGAGAGAGAATTTCGAACAAGAAGACAGGCTTGATTCCCAATTACAAAACCTAAAAATTAAAGTGATATTTTTAATTTTTTTTTCTTTTTTACAATTTGTCATTCAATAATGACCAAGAATCCAAATCACATGGGCCAAATGGGATAAGGTATTCGAACCAAAGCACATGTGACAATGCCGATGAACCCACAAAGGCTATATATATATATATGTGTGTGTGTGTGTATTTGAAGGATAGACAAATCCCATGTTCACTTAGCTTTTTTCTCTTTACTATATATATATATATATATTGAGTTTGCATTGCATGGTTGATAGGACACATTCGTATCCATCCACATGAATTTTGTATGACCCATATGTTCCTTCACAAAACCATGAAATTAATAAAGAAACGTTTTTTTTTTCGTTTTTTTTCTTCATGTTTAGTCTTTTCTACCCATCTTTTTCACTTTTTTGAATCGCCACAAGACAAAACCATTTACTAATAAATAAATAAATAAATATAGATCGTATACGTGTTATAAGTGGAAATAAAAAAAATATACTATTTGATTTACTAATCATTAAATTACGATCGTATACGTGTTTAAACAAGAAAAACAAAAAACCATTTCTATGAATTCTTGATATCGACTTGTCAATGTATCTTGTTTTTAGTGTTTCTAAAAGTTGGGAAAATAGTTTCAAATGAACGAAGTGAAATGTTTTGAATTTGTCCTGTCACGCTTAGTTTGTTCTTACTCGAAAGAATAGAACTCGATTTCCAAATCATGCATGCATGTATGTATGTATGTACGCACGCATGTATGTATGTATGTATGTATTTGCAAAACTAAATCCGAATAAACTATATGTTCATCAGATTCGGCTCCAACAAGGGCAAGTGTCATCCAACTAAACCAGTTAGTTACTCATGAATCACTTATCACTGGCCATGGCCCCAAATAGATAAGGATGTTCATGTGATGTCGTGTCGAAACTTAATTTCTATGCTATATATTTCATTTATAGACTAATTTGCAAATTTATGAATTTGACCTATCAAGACTACGGAAAATAAATTTTACTCCATCCGTTTCAAAATAATTGTTGTTTTAAGTTATTTCACATTTTTTAGAAAAATATAGAAAAATTCATATATACCCTTATTTAATGATAAAAATAATGTTATCATTAATAATTTATTTGAATTTAATAGGGATAAAATTGAAAACTATTGTAAAAAATATCTTGAAAATATTGAATGACAAATATTTTGAAAAATGGAAAATAATCTAAAACTACAAATATTTTGAAACGGATGGAATACCATGTAACCCAAAAAAAAAAATCACTGGTTGCATATGGAAATATGTCGATAAAATATCAAGCAATAATTCAAGTAATCGATTAATAATTCTCGATGCAAGGGATAGATCCAAAACATAGGCCATTAAATATTATAAAAATGTTATAAATGAATATACGATTAGGGCAGAAAATATATATAAACATGGCTATATATATATTGTACATCCTTACTTGAGTGAGACTGTGATTGAAGGAGAGAGAGAGAGGGCATGTGCCTCTATTAATGACTTGGATTTTAACAGGTAGGGTTTTGTGTTGGAAACTAAATAATTATTAAAGTACGTAACAACAGAAAAACATGATTAAGCAAATAGAGCCCTAATTAATGGCTTAGTGGGAGCAAACCCCATCACCAAGAAACTCATTAATGCCACTCTTCAACCTTGCATGTTCTTGAATAGATAATTATGCACATTTATGCAGCAATGTTATAGTGTTACTGTTGAAATTAGATTAAATTTGGTTACGATTATATATATTATTGATATGGATTAGATCAATTTAATGGTCGCATGTTTTTAATATAACTTGGCAACATTTTTATTTCATTTTTTTTTTACTATCCTTGATTCCTTTAAAAGAAATAGACACAACATTAACGGAGTGCAAAGGTGAAATAAAATAACTTTGAGTTCAGTTAAACGCCGTCGGATCCATTATCCATACGTCGAAAACGAAGAGTAACCGTAGAACAGTAAGCGACAGTAGATGCCCTTTTTATTAGATTATTAATTAATTAAACAATTAGTAATTAATTCTTTGTTTCATTATTTAAAAATAATAATAATTTTAATTTGTGAGTTCGTGATCTGCCGCTGGGCTGGACCAAGTTGTCATCCGTCAGTTTCCCATGCCAATCATCAAAATCCGTTTGGCCTTTCTTGGAAACATCTTTATTTCCTTTGATTTATTTTTTTATTATATCAAATTCCCTATACACGCACATATATATATATATGTATATGTATATATAAAACAAATAACTATACACGTATTCTGATCAGTCATATCGAGCAGGATTCAGATGCTCCAAAAGAAATGAGATTTTGTTTTCACAAATTGGCATATAAAATCTGTATTTTCTAATTGAAAAACAGTTGGATTTGCCTTTGCTTTTTTTTTTATTGTTATGCTGTTTAAACAATTTGGTTAATCTATGAGCGCTCATTGTAATATATCCCATGAGCGGTTCTTTGGATTATGAATCTTGCTGTTTGAATCCTAAAATATGTATATATATATATATTCGTGAATTTTTTGTTTTTATGTAGGTTTTGGATATTTAATTTATGTTTTACATATCAATTTTGTTAAAACCTTTTGGCTGTGAGAGAATTGAGTTGCTTTACTATTTAGTTATGAACTCTCCTTGACAAAAAAAAAGAGATTAGATTCTCTTAAGTTGACCTTAATCATGCATTTAGAAATCCAATCACATGTGTTAACGAAATCATAATTATATTCGTGAGTTGGACTTTCCAACATTTGAATTTATAAATGACATAAATAATCTAAACATTTTCCCCTGAAAATAGAAAAATATTAAAAAAAAAGAAAAATCAAGAAAGGAACAGTCTTCTCTTCTTCTTTCCTCTTTATTACCAGTTGTTCTCTTCAGCACATGATACTCGTCTCTCTCTCTCTCTCTCGAAGTGTCGAATTTCAGTTGCACATCTGCAACAGCGAATGCTGTTCTGTTCTTTTTATGGTCTGAAAATTTTATGGAACAGTGACATTTCCTTCCGTTCTGTTTCATCTTTATAATGAGAAACAAATCGTAGATTCAAAATCCAACTTCGACCCACTTCTCATCTCCTCCGGTTTCGATTCGGGTATCGATTATTTCCCCCATTCCTTTTAATTTCCCCATCAGATTATGCCTCCGAATACAGTAGCGGTGACAATGGAGAAGCCAGAAAACTTCTCTCTGTTAGAGATCAACGGCTCAGATTCATCCTTGTTCCCGGACAAGCGAAAATCCATCAGCCCCAAACAGTTCTCTTGGTTTCTCCTCCTCAAAGCTCACAGAGTCGTGTCGTGTTTCTCATGGCTGTTTGGTTCTATCAAGAAGCGCATTGCTTTGTCCGACGGCAACCTAAACGAAGAAGAAGACCCCAAAAGCAGAGGAAAGCAGATGTACAGATTCATAAAAGCCTGTCTGGTTATTTCCATTGCAGCTCTGGTCATAGAATTCATCGCTCATTACAAGAAATGGAACTTGGATCTCATAAACAGACCTTCTTGGGAGGTTCGTGGGTTAGTGGAGTGGTCTTACATGGCATGGCTTTCGTTTCGGGCAGATTACATCGCTCCTGTTGTGGTCAGTCTCTCCAGGTTCTGCACTGTTCTGTTCTTGATCCAGTCTCTTGATCGGTTAGTTCTTTGCCTCGGTTGCTTCTGGATCAAGTATAAGAAGATCAAACCCAGAATTGATGATGATGCTCTGGATGTAGAAGACGGCTCGAACTTCCCAATGGTTCTTGTTCAGATTCCCATGTGCAACGAACGTGAGGTAACAAACAAAAGAAAACACCCTCTGTCCTCTGTTGTTGCTCTGTGTTGGATTCATAATTTGTGTAAAAGTTCAGTCTGGTTCAGAATCTTTACCAAGCTAAACCCAAATTCTGATCTGTTAACGAATACCCAGATCAAGAATCGGAAGATTCCCTGCGGGAATTCGTTCAAGAACTGGACATAAACCATTGTTTTCTTTTTGTGTTTTCAGGTGTATGAACAATCCATAGCTGCAGCTTCACAGCTTGACTGGCCAAAGGACAGGATCTTGATTCAAGTTCTTGACGATTCAGATGATCCGAACCTGCAACTTCTGATCAAAGAAGAAGTCTCAGTTTGGCGGGAAAAAGGCGTAAACATAATCTACAGACATCGGTTGATCAGGACAGGTTACAAAGCTGGGAATCTCAAGTCTGCAATGAGCTGCGATTACATCAAAGACTACGAGTTCGTCGCGATCTTCGACGCCGATTTTCAGCCAAATTCTGATTTCCTCAAGCTCACAATCCCTCATTTCAAGGTGATAACACTGAAATTTTACTGTCCGGATTTTGAAGTAAGATTAAGGTTTCTGAATGCTGATTCTTTTATTTAATTTTGCAATTGTTAGGACATCACCGACAGATGTTTATGTGTGGTTCAAAACTGTCGACAAGATAAAGTTGTTTTTCGTATGGCCATTCCGTGCAATCTAAGCATAATTTACTGATAATAAAGTTTGATTTTTTTTTAATTTACGGATATAAAGTTTGAATCTTTTTTGTCATTGCAGGGGAATCCAGAACTGGGTTTGGTCCAGACACGTTGGTCATTCGTGAACAAGGACGAGAACCTCCTTACAAGGCTTCAAAACATAAACCTCTGTTTCCACTTCGAAGTGGAACAGCAAGTGAACGGTGTCTTCCTCAACTTCTTTGGTTTCAACGGAACAGCTGGTGTCTGGAGGATCAAAGCCCTCGAAGAATCCGGCGGCTGGATGGAGAGGACGACTGTTGAAGACATGGATATAGCCGTTAGAGCTCATCTCAACGGCTGGAAATTCATCTTTCTTAACGACGTTAGGGTTCTCTGTGAATTGCCCGAGTCTTATGAAACTTACAAGAAGCAGCAACATAGGTGGCATTCCGGTCCTATGCAGCTTTTCAGGCTTTGCCTTCCTTCTATCATAACTTCCAAGGTAATGAGTGCCATTTCCATATTTGTTTCTATGTTTGATCTGAATCAATGTGTCTTGTTCTTATCTGTTTATGTTTTCCGGATTTGCAGATATCGGTATGGAAGAAGACGAATCTGATCTTCCTGTTCTTCCTTCTCAGAAAGCTTATATTACCCTTCTACTCATTCACACTCTTCTGCATTATACTTCCATTAACAATGTTCATACCAGAAGCTGAGCTCCCGTTATGGGTCATCTGCTATGTCCCCATTTTCATGTCCCTCCTCAATATCCTCCCATGCCCACAATCATTTCCCTTCTTAGTCCCTTACCTCCTCTTCGAGAACACAATGTCCATCACCAAATTCAACGCCATGATCTCCGGCCTCTTCCAGCTCGGCTCAGCCTACGAGTGGGTCGTGACCAAGAAGACGGGGAGATCCTCTGAATCAGACCTCTTGGCCTTCGCTGAGAAAGAGGAGAAGCTTCACAGGAGGAACTCGGAGTCAGGTCTGGAGCTTCTGAGCAAACTTAAGGAGCAAGAGACTAAACTTGCGGAGGAAGAAACACTGAAAAGCATCGGCGGAGGAATGAGGATGAAGAAGAGGAAGAGGAACAGGCTGTACAAGAAGGAACTCGCACTGGCATTTCTGCTTCTGACAGCTGCGGCGAGGAGCTTCTTGTCGGCTCATGGACTTCACTTCTACTTCTTGCTGTTTCAGGGACTGTCTTTCTTGGTCGTAGGACTGGACTTGATCGGCGAGCAGATAAACTAGAGCAATCTCTTGTTACTCACACGTCGTGTCTATTCCTTATTTCGATTGATTTTTTTTTTTTCATTTTGTGGGTTTATGGGAATATGTAAGAACTAAATCTCCAGTTTCAGAAAGCGAGCGAGTAACCGATAATGTCAGTGACCGAAACTTCAGATTTCGATTCCGGTTTCATTCTTCGGGAGTTTGATGAACCTTTCATTGTTGCAGGAAGGATGGACTCCTTTGCATATCGCTGTTCAAAGTCGGAATAGAGACATTGCAAAGATCTTGTTGATCAATGGCGCTGACAAAACCAGAAGAACGAAGGTAATGTCAGTGATTGCGAGAAAACATAACTGGAAACTATGTTTCGTTTCTTCGATACCGATTTCTTGGTGGTTTTTCAGGACGGGAAAACAGCTTTGGATTTGGCTCTGTGTTACGGAAGAGATTTCAAGTCATATGATCTTGCCAAGCTGTTGAAGATTTTACCTGCAGTCTGAGATCTGTAAGACAGCAACAGTTTGATTTGAGAACCATCCGGTTTAGCAAACCGGTACGCCCTTATTTGGTTTAAACCATTGATCGGTTTTAAGAGTTTTGGAAATCTGGCCAAACCGATCGGTTTGAACCGGGTTAGATGGAAGAAATCTGATTTGGTTTGTAACACTAAACTCATGTTTGCACATACATGTTCTTATTTATTAAAATCCAAAAAATCATGCATAATTATATATTCTTGCGCCACCTGAAAACCATGGGAAAGAGAGAAGAAGAGGCAAAAAGCTGAAGAGAGCTCAATCTGTATACTTGTAAAAGTATATGTACAATGTTGTTTCTTTTGCCAATAGATGAGAATAACTAGGTCATGTTTCAATGATTTTACATCAGAATCATCTACACGTAAAGAATATAAAAATGATAAGCTGGTGCCTTAATTCTGGATTAGTTAAATGAGTAATTCTATCAATCAACTTAGTTCCGGTGGAAAATTGATTATGAATAAATATCAAAATAATTGAAATTGAAATGAAAACATTTTTTTTTATAAAGATCGAATTGAAATTAAGTTATATAAAAGTGGATAATTTCACCAATACTTTAAAATCCCAACCCGAAAGCTACTTCATCGTTCTCTAAATTTGTATGTAATAGTTTATTAATGGGAGCTTTTTTGTCATTTTAATTTCGCATTTTTTTGTTCTCTTGATTTTTCATCCGTTCTCCCAGCAGCCAAACACAAGGCTCCAACGAAACAAGCCCACTAGAAATTCAATTCGGCGAAGCTTACAACAATGGCTTCGTGGGTTTTGTCAATTCGTCCTCAAAGTTGGGTCCTTTCTCGATTTCCAGCTTCTGCTTCTGACAATCGCAAGTCGAACCTCAATTGCTCCACGAGCGGTCGACGAATCTTGTCGGTTAGGGCTCGATGTTTCAGCGAGACAAAACATCGAACACCTTCTGTTCAAACCCAGAATGGGTACTGGGAAGAACCAGACGATGGGAGCGACAGCGAAAACGAAGATGAAGAAGAAGACGGAATCGGAAACAATTTGGACTTCGAAAGCGATTGGGAAGAAGATGCAGGGCGAGAAACAGACGATGATGTTTCTTCCATGTCCGCGTATGCCCAGAAGCCTCCGACAGACAACTACGATGAAGAAATTGCTAGAGGTTCTTCTTCTCCAAAAATTATCTTCATAATCCTCCCGTAAAGTTTGAATTTTTATTCAATCGTTCTCTGTTACCTTGATACAATAAGCTGTAACTAGAGAAGAATTCCTCCATAATTGCATATAGCTCTTATATACTCGAGTGATAATGATCCAAGTTTGTATATTTGTGTTTGTATTTGAAGTTTGAATGAACTTGTAACTATTTGCAGAGGTTGAACAACTTCTAGAACCTGAGGAAATGGCAATCCTACAAGAGAATGCTCTGCCTAATCTCCAGAAAATATCGACAGTAAGTTCTGAAATTTACTTGCTTTCAGCATTGGTTATATGCATGTATGTGTGTGTATAGCGGCTATAGCCATTCTGTGATCACTTGGTTCTTGAGAAAAAAAAAACATAAGTCTTTCTTTATGTTTCAACTGTTGGGTTTGGTGTTTACATGTTCATCGTTGATCACTACGGGATTGAATCTGCAGAACAAGTGGAAGCCGCTTCAGACTCTTGCTCTGTCAATGCAGATGCATTACATGGACAAGCTCATTGCAAATGGTCTCGACATCAATGATGTCGACAAGGTTGTTTTAACAATGAAATGCTGTCTCCAAAATCTGGATGTCTAAAGTTTTAAGATCTGATTTTATTGACTGAATCTCGGTTGCAAATAAACAGTTTGGCTTGACGGCACTTCATAAAGCTATCATCGGCAGAAAGGAAGCTGTGATTAGTCATCTTTTGAGGAAAGGAGCGAACCCACATGTAAAAGATCGGGTGAGAAAATTTTCTTTCTAAACATTGCAAGATTCGTGATTTCATTTCCCTAAATTTGCTCGATTGCTTGAAAATCAGGACGGGGCAACTCCGCTTCACTATGCAGTTCAAGTTGGCGCCATGCAGACTGTAAAACTACTAATCAAATACAATGTAGACGTCAATGTATCCGATAATGTCAGTGACCGAAACTTCAGATTTCGATTCCGGTTTCATTCTTCGGGAGTTTGATGAACCTTTCATTGTTGCAGGAAGGATGGACTCCTTTGCATATCGCTGTTCAAAGTCGGAATAGAGACATTGCAAAGATCTTGTTGATCAATGGCGCTGACAAAACCAGAAGAACGAAGGTAATGTCAGTGATTGCGAGAAAACATAACTGGAAACTATGTTTCGTTTCTTCGATACCGATTTCTTGGTGGTTTTTCAGGACGGGAAAACAGCTTTGGATTTGGCTCTGTGTTACGGAAGAGATTTCAAGTCATATGATCTTGCCAAGCTGTTGAAGATTTTACCTGCAGTCTGAGATCTGTAAGACAGCAACAGTTTGATTTGAGAACCATCCGGTTTAGCAAACCGGTACGCCCTTATTTGGTTTAAACCATTGATCGGTTTTAAGAGTTTTGGAAATCTGGCCAAACCGATCGGTTTGAACCGGGTTAGATGGAAGAAATCTGATTTGGTTTGTAACACTAAACTCATGTTTGCACATACATGTTCTTATTTATTAAAATCCAAAAAATCATGCATAATTATATATTCTTGCGCCACCTGAAAACCATGCTTAACCAGTAAAAAAGAATGGACCGCATCTTAAATATTATTATAAGAAAAGTCGCCTCAATTATATTAGTGGCTAATTAAAAATAACATTAATCTAGAATGCAAATTACAGTAAAAAGCAGTGAATATTATGTACTCAATTAACTACACATATTTATGTCTCGTTTTTTAAAATTAAGGAGTTTTATTTTCTAATTTAAATCATATTATTCCAATACTCCAATCTGAATATGGAAGCTAAAATCTTTATCTAATTTGTAATGATTTAAGAGTTAATAATTTTTTTAACTAAATTTATGGGTTTTGAGCTTTTAATAATATTTTAAAATCGGATACCTTGTTTAAAAAATTTTGTAACTACGTGATATATGTATGACAAATTATGGATCCAACATCTTCCTGTCACATATTTAATTCCAATCATATCTTTACTGGTTATTTTTTGTCGACCAATTAAATAGTCCCATAAATAAAAATCAAATAACACATTTTGTTTATAATAAAGTGTATGAATAAATATCGAGCATGAAAATACATTGAATTTCATGCTTGTAATGAGCTGTTTGTGTGCCGAAGTCCGAATAGGAATTTGCAGTGTATGTGGGACCATAAAGCCACATGCAAATGATCATATCTTTTCGTCCTTGACCTAATTATTTTCCAATATTTTATTCTCTAGAAATATTTTTCTATTGTTTACGAAATTTAATATTTTCATATGCAAATCTGTAACCAAATTACTCTGGATTTCGTTATATGGATGTCTCTGAATTTCTTATTCTTCTTTGTAGGATTTTGAGCGCCTTGTTCTTTTTTTTATCACAAAAAAAAAGAAAAACAAAAAATTATGGACCAACCCCAAGAAGGCTATGAATTTCATCACCGACACTATTCAAAAATACAATCAAAGATGGCATAAACAATACTAATGCGATGATTAGTATACACTTAGGTAAATAATAATAATAATAATAATAATAATAATAATAATAATAATAGTAATAATAATACAATGAAAATGTGTGATTTTAATTCATTTTTTAGATTTCCTGTCTGTCTTTTGCGCGTGGACGAGAGCAAAGAACACAGCTTGCATGTGAACTACGTAATATCCACCAAAGACACCGTTGCATATATTTAGCTCTTTATATATGTTTCGTAATCTTTTCTCTCAATATAATATACATTAACTATTTTCATATCATTATTATTGTTATTATGAATTATAAAACCATGAACTTGAACCGGTGCCTATACCGAAAATTTCAAGCATCCCCGTGATTGGTGGACCGTACATCGGATTCTGACCTTCACTCCCTCTCCCACTTCTTCATTCTCTTTCCATTAAAATCCCCACCTTTTCTCTCTCTAGAGCTCAAAAACCTCTCTCTCCCTCTCCTCTGCTGCGACAATGGTGGAAACATCGCCATTGAAGCTCCTCTCCGTCACCTTCACCATCCTCCTCGTCTCCGCCGCCGAATCCCGCCTCACCACTGATTTCTACGCCAAATCTTGCCCTAGATTCCACGACATCGTCCGCGACACGATCACCAACAAGCAGATTACCAGCCCCACCACCGCCGCTGCCGCTCTCCGCCTCTTCTTCCACGACTGCTTCCCCAATGGCTGCGACGCCTCCCTCTTGATCTCCTCCACCGCCTTCAACTCCGCCGAGCGTGACTCTCCGATTAACCTCTCCCTTCCCGGTGACGGCTTTGACGTCGTCGTCCGCGCCAAAACTGCCCTCGAGCTCACTTGCCCTAACACCGTCTCCTGCTCCGACATCCTCGCCGTCGCGGTCCGTGACCTCGTCGTCACCGTCGGCGGTCCCTACTACGACGTCTTCCTCGGCCGTAGAGACTCCCGCGTGTCAAGATCCAACCTCGTCGCCGATCTGCTCCCGCTCCCATCGATGCCGATCCCGAAGCTCATAGATCTGTTTGGCTCCAGGGGCTTCACTATCCAGGAGATGGTTGCGCTGAGCGGGGCCCACACAATCGGGTTCTCCCACTGCAGCGAGTTCGCGGGTCGGGTCGCGAGGAACGATTCCGGGTACAACCCGAGATTCGCCGACGGATTGAGGAAGGCCTGTTCGAATTACAAGAAGGACCCGACCATCTCCGTCTTCAACGACGTCATGACTCCGAACAAGTTCGACAACATGTATTTCCAGAACATCCCAAAGGGTATCGGGTTGCTGGAATCGGATCACGGGTTGGGATCCGACCCGAGAACCCGACCCTTCGTGGAGCTCTACGCGAGGGACCAAGAACGGTTCTTCAAGGACTTCGCCAGAGCTATGCAGAAGCTGAGCCTCTACGGCGTCAAGACTGGTCGGAGAGGAGAGATCCGGCGAAGGTGCGATGCCATTAATTAAATTTGAGATCAGAAGATTCTGGGTTTTGTTATTCGTTGGATTTATTAATTCTGGGTTTAGTGAAAAGATCTGAGATTTGGGCGATTTTGAATGTTAATCTTCTTTGAGGACTGCTGAAGTGTTTCTGTGACAGTATAATGTAATATATATATAATACATACATATTTGTGTTGATGATCGTTTCTTAATCTTAATCATATGATGGATTAATCGATAAGAAAGGATAACTAATTACTTCGTAAACTCTATTAACCAATGTTATGGAGACACGTTTCTTAATCATAATTTGTGTTAATGTAATCCTCTACGGCGTGTAACCTGGCCTATGTTATGGAGACACGTGTCACGAGTGTTCTATGCAAACATGAGCTTTAATGTAGAGGATTTATAACCATCTAACTTGATAATTAATGGGTAAGCAAGACAATTTTATTTTCGGATAACAAGAATATTTAAATATTGTGTTAATTTTTTGCGTGGGAATCTTTGAAGTCCAGTGAATCCGAATTACCTGACGTTATTGAACAGGTTGTAGAAAAAATTTGTTATAAGTATATCAATAATACAATGAAAAGAATTGATGCCATTAGTTTGGTTTATTGGAACATATCTGTGAATTAAATTAGTTTTTTTATTAAATTATGTATGTATTAATTTAAATAATTAAAATTAATATATGTTCGTTAGTTAGTAATGGATATGGGCCATTGAATTTTGGACCGGTGTCCACTGAGCTTGCATAATTATGGACCACTGTTCTTCATATTGATTTTGGAGAATCGAAGATTCTCTAAACATGAGAAGTATAGGAAATGGATCCTTTAGCCATATGGAATTTAGCGGTCCAGTAAATGATGACCCATTATATATCTAAATATTATTATTGGGCTCAATAGGATTTCAAAATTGGGCTTTGTAATGGGCCATTATATCTAAAATAATATGATTGGGCTCAAAGCCCATATTTCATGGCCCTATAATACGTAAACAACAACAAATTCTCTTATAAAATGCAAAGTCCTATGATTATCTCTCTCGATTCACATTGAACCAACAATAACTTTTGCAGCAGCAAAATCAAATTGGTTCGACTTTTTTTTTTTGCCTTTTTAAGGAGAATCAAATTCTATCGCTTAGGGAGAAAAGAGAAAAAGAGAACTCTTATTTTTTACAACTTATTTTTCTGTCCTTTTTTCAAAAATTAAAAAGCATAACACGAAAAAAAGAAAAGAAAAAGAGGATAAATTTACAAGAAATCCAAAAAGCCATAAAAATTCAATGAGAAATCTCCAGCTAATTACAACACCCCAACCCCATAAAATATAATATTATTGAAAACAAAAAAAATATTGAAAAACAAAAAGAAACAGAAGCCCAAATCCACAATTAAAAGTTAGAAATGTAAAAAATAAAGAAAAAGGGTGAAAGAAAATCCGAGTTGCCTTTGGGGGGGGGGGGGCAAAACTCGGACGAGTTAGAACTCC